ATACACTATATATATTAAAATATATATATATATAAAAGACAGATATTGTAACTCCATCTGGAAAGAGAGAATGTTTGATCTTAACAATGTAACTTCTAGCTTTCAAACAGGCTCAGAAAACAAGAAGTCAGCAGGAGTTCAGATAAAGGAAGCTTAAAAGTCAAATAATTCTGACTCTGAACCCGAGACTTCTTAGACTCAAGGTCTTTTCCTTTACCCATTAATGGGCTGACTTGTGAGCTCAGGAACAAAGTGCTGCAATGTGAGGATTTCTGAGAGTCACTCATTACAGATCACTGAGTGGAGTCTGAGTTGCGGAAATCAAAGGATCCAATCTGGAGTAACTGGCTGAACTTCTGCTTGGAACTAATTTGTTCCGAGTTCGGCTCACCTTTCACCTCCCGAAGGCCCTGAGTAAAGTCCCTACCGGGGTCAGCCTCAAACGGCACTGGGGGGATCCCAGCTCAGCTTTAATGGTCAGTGATGGGCACTGCAGCCCCTGGAAGAGAGTGGACAGTCAGCCAGGATAGGAGGGAAGCGGTGGACACAGCAGGGCAGGATGGTGCCAGGCTTCCCACTGCCCCACGGGCTCTTGCGGCCAAGACAGGCAGATACCTCCCCTGGCGTGGGCTAACACACCCTGCTGGCATGTCCCCCATCCCCACTGCTGGCCAAGGAGGGGTGGTGGCAGACAGCTGTTGACACAAGCAGTATCTCAAGACCCTGGTGTGTCCTTGCCCTCCATTCCAAATTCTGGAAAGGAATCCAGGCATGTCGGTCAGGGCTCAGGAGTCAAGACTCCTACTCCTATTCCTGGCTTTGCCACTCACTGCCTCCAACATCTGGAGCAAAATAGTTCTCTCCAGGGAAACAAATCTGGCTTCAGGGGAGCAGCTGCTTTGGAGGCTGAACTAATCCATGCTTAATCCAACATGTGGAGTGCCATGGACAGGCAGTGCTAGACAGCACAAAGGGATTCTCCAACTCAGAGGAATTTGAAGCAGGGAGATTAAATGACTCTCCCAAAGGCCCTGGCAGCACAGTGGTAAAGCACACGCCTGAACTCGGGAGTTCAAGGCTGGCATGGCAGGGCGAAAACGCTGCCGCAGCCTCTGCGAGGGGAAGAGCAAGGTGTTCACCACAAGAACCCACGGCTGCAGGAGGCACAGGAGGGAATGGCCACTACAAAGCACTACTGTGCTTGCATTCCAGAGCTGCTTGTTCCCACCACCCACATTGCTAACCTGCTACAAGTGCCCAGGGCAGGGGCAAAGCACTGTGCTTGCAGAGGCTACCTGCTTCCTCAGCACTGTTCCCATTGCACTGGGGCCTGGGACACCTCGGGGCAATCACTGTGCAGGGTGGGGACACGTGCATGCACCCCACTAGCCAAACAGCCAGCGACTGCCACAGCCACCCACTTTTCAGCACTGACCCAGCCCACCAATCTTCCAGAGGCCAATTTCAGCCATGACACTAGGCGAGAGGCACCAGAGCTGCTCCTGCCAGCTCTGGGCAGGGCAAGGAGCATCACCAGGACATGACCTCCACTCAGCTCAGCCTATCCTTGGAAAAGCTGGTTGTGGGCCACAGGCTTTCCCACCACCACATTGCCCAACAACCACAGGAAAGATTCAGAGCAAGCACAATGCCAAGCCCTGCCTGATTCTCCAAACACATTTGAGCCAGGTAGAACATAATACAGCAGCCCCATTCTCGTCCTCTCCAAAATACCCCTCCAGCTGGGATGTAATTTCCCCCCCCCTCAAAAGGTAGCATAAAATGGTCACAGTGTGAATGTGCTTGACCTTTTGTCTTGGACTAATCTAATTGTGTCGTCTTTGTGTAATCAGCCAGTAAAGGTCAGTGCTGTATTTAACATGGGGGCCCTTTAGGTACTGAATTTGCCTTGCAGTGAATTAACTTGATTATATTTCTTTCAAATATGTCAGAGACCAGGTCAGTTTAACCCTCTCTGTGCTGCCTGGGCCCACCCCCTTTGTTTCCAATTCCAGGAGGTGTCACTGAGGAACAATGTGGTCAGAAACACATGCATGAGCTCCCTCCTCCTGCAGCCATGGCCACCACCACCACCTCTCCCACCTTCCCAAAAAGCCAAGTCTCAAGGGAGAGCAAGTGTGCTGTAAATCAGCCCGAAAAGTTTGCAAACCAGGACATTCCGGACCGCAGGGAGGGAGGGGTGAGATTCCAGATTGAATGCAGTAAGGAAAAAAAATAAAATTCAGAAGACTCCTTTACAAACATGAACCTGTCTCAGTGGAACGCTTCCTCACGACTCCATATTGTCACAATCAAATAGGACATTACTCAAGTCCAGATTAACGTGTCGCCTCTGCCGTTGACAGATAAGGTGTTCTCAATATCCTGCAATACATTATACATTTCAGAAAGTAAAGGTCTGTGCCGCTACCAGGGGCAGTGTGTCGTCTGAGGCGTCGGGGATGCCACGGTGTTGGAGATGGGCAGCTTTCATCAGGCAGTTCAGCTCAGCTGTGCCAGGGGACTGCACAGAGGGGAAAGCAGCCTCAGCTGATCCCCAGGCATACCCTTGGCCCTGAGGCAGTGGTGAGGGTCTGGACAGCCTGCCCTCATGGAGGCAGGGAGGAGAGGCCGGTGATTTGCATCCTGCAGAGGTACATGCACAGGACATTGCCACAGGGCTCGCAGTGAAAGAACCCCTAGGTCTTGCTTTCCTTTCTTGGCACTGGAAGTAGGGTTTAAAAACACCCCTTTGCTCTTCAAACACCTCTCTCCTTCCCAAGCCTCCTGCTCCAGACAGGGCTACTGCTTGACTCCAGGGTCTCAGGCAGGTCATGGCTCATCACCTCAAGACTGCTTTCCCCACTTGCTTCCCTCTGCTGAGCAACCCTTATGGGGCTGTGTCTAGACGGAAAATGCCTCAGGCCTGCAGCTGTACTGGCATCACTGTTGCTGCCCTAGAGCAAGCTCTCATCACCCAAAGCCTCACTGCTTTGGTCCACGGTGGCACCCACGTCAAGCCATCTGCCTGCATGCAGGATGTAGAAAGCCCTGCTGACCCCACCTGTAGCACCAAGAACACTGTCCAGCACAGGAGACAAGCCCAGATAGCAGCACTGGGACTTGGGGGGGAACAGGCGTGCTGTGCTCCCTTGGACGCGCATGCCTGGAGGGAGAGCAGGGCAGCATCCCCAGTGCTTGTCAGGGCATCTGCGTCGGAGACCTGAGTGCTCCCTGTTCTGCCCCCCCAACCTTCCTTCTCACCGAGTTGGGGGTCAGTGGTGCTCCTACTACATCAATGATCTGGTCCTTGGTATCTCCCTTGCCCTCCTCGATGCCAAGCCCTGTCTGGCCATCCGGATGGGCACCTTCCATGCTGAGGGGGCCAATGCTCCCAGCTTTGGCCAGGGCCTCATAGCGGTGCCGTAACATCTGCAGCTCATATTCGCAGTTGGCAAACGCTTGTTTCAGCTCGTACAGCAGCACTAGGTCACTTCGCAGCTCGTTGAACATCTGCACGATCTCCTCTGTGGGCATAGGGTTGAGATCTAGGGAGAAAAAGGGGTTCTGTTAAAACACTCAGACCTACAACCCTACAACAGAAAATCCCTAGAAAGGTCCTGGCTGCCCTTTCACTCCCAGAAAGAAACACCAGGCACCTCACTCCCATCACACAAATCAGCAGCAATCTGAATTTTCAGGCTGTCCTTCAATTCTGGCCAAGGACTAAGGGTGAACCTGCAAAGTCCAGGACTCAGCAAGCGAAGGATGACAGAAGATGCAGATCAGACCAGATGAATGAACCTTGCTACCCACCAGGTCACACGAAGGGAGCTCTGTCTTGGGAGCAAGTCCTCACATACTGCCACAGCCAACAGAAGAGCTCCTGCTATTC